GATACTACCCCAATATGTAACCACGTCTCCTCATGCAGACACACCAATGATCAATAAGTGCATTTGAACCAAATATGTGTTCCTCAAGGGATTGGAAGAGGTGACCAGGCCACCCTAGTCCTCTGAGGACCAGTTCCATTCTGGGCTAAAACTGTGCACACACTCTGTGACAAGCAGGCAGAACTCCCCTGAGCGAAACATGCCGATGTGACAATCCTGCCAAGCTGTCCTGTCTAGACATATATCTCACCTCCCTCCCAGAGTGGTGTGAAGATAAGAGCTTCAAAGGGTCCTGCAATTAGTCCTGCTTCCCTGCTCACCCACCTTCATTCCTCCAATGAGGCAGAGCAGGCCCACAGCCCAGCTAACTTGTGCTGGGTCAGCTTCCTGATGCATGACAGGGGAGTTACTTATGCAAGCAAGATAATTTCCAGTGTCACCACCATTTTATTAACCTCTTCAATGGCCTTGGGATCTTTCTGGTGCATAGAAGGGAAGATGCAGTGCAGTGCTAATATGCCTGTAATGCTTCTCCACTGCTGCGTAGCAGAGAGGGCCAGGCTGAACAATGCTACCTGGGTTTCGATATGCCATGGAGCCCTCTTTCTATACTACTTGTCTCACATTGGCTCTAGACACCTCCTTCCAAATAAATGGCCCTTGGTCTCTGCAGGTTCCAACTCTTCAGATTCAGAAAACTTTGGCAAAAAAAGGGGCAGAAAAATTTGATTTAAAAAAGGTGCTATCATTGCTTAAACCATACAGAATAACAACTATTTCCATATTTTTACATATAATTTTGTATTAGGTATGACAAGCAATCTAGAAGTGATGTAAAGTATATAAGAGATATGTATTGGTTCTATGTAAATACGATGGCATATTCTGCAAGACACCTGAGCATTTACACATCTGGGCATCTGTGAGGAAGGCTGGAACCAATACTCTGTAAATACCAGGAGACAACTGGAGTAGATACATATTTATAGAAATAGGTTAGCACAGTTACTCAAGAAGCCTGAGGGAGATGCTTAAGCACACATTCCGGCATAGGTGTGGATAGGTAACCCTGGCCTGATGATCTGTGCCTCAGATCTGTCATTCCTAAAATGGGGGTGGTATTATCAGGAGGAAGAAATGGGTCAGCCCACCTAAAGCACTCAGACCAGTGCCTGGCTATAGTTCAAAGGGAGATGCAGTCCCACAGGTAGGGTGGGTTATGCTGATTCGAACTAGGTATGTGGTGTGTCCTGACATGTGCTGTTCGGTGAATAAAACAGCTCTAGTAGTAGACTGCACTAAGTAGGCACTGACAAGTAAGTAACAGGGATAGTAACTTGACAGTGAATCTGGCAGTGGGAGACACACTTCTCGCCATCCAGCTTTTTGTACTGTTTAATTACTGCTATTTTGTTTCTTGTTCTTTTTCCTGAGTGCACACATAATCCATTTCTAAATTTAAAAGTAAATGATTTTTAAAAAGAAAGATCCTCTAGTTAAGTCTGGCATGTGTAGAATGGAGCAAGGCCTGAGGACAGCCAGCCAAGGAGAGGTGATTATTCTTTTTCAGGCAAAACCTGTAAGACTCAGGTTGACCACTGGCAAGGGAAGCTAGAGGAGAGAGAAAAAGGCAGAACTAAGAGGAAAAATATGGTTGCCTGGTTCATCCACGAGAGATGATGGTGTAGCACAAATGCTGGCCAGATGCCAAGCTGCTCTGTGGGCATCCCTCTCCCAGCCGCAGCTGGATGAGGAGGTAGAAGCGTGCTGGGTTCCAGGGAAGAGCTGGGCTCACAAGGTTCCCTGGCAGGGCCATGAAGGCAGCCCATCTGTCTCTAAATCCTGTGCCCTCGCTAATGCACACGGCTACATTTTACTAATGGAGATGAGGGGGGAATTTGTTTAAGAGAAAGTTATAGGCAACTTAAAGAGAAATATTAAATGTGAGTACCTGATGGTATATTGAAGCTGTGGGGATTGTACCCCTGAATGCCATTTTACAAAGGTAGACCAAACCCTGGTTAGTGGGCTCCTGGGGTAAAGCCCTCTCCACACATGCCTCCTAGAGCTAGACATCAGGAGAGAGACACCTTTGCAAAGCTTTGCCTGGAGACCCAGAGTAGATTTCATACTCCTGTGCCCAGTGCATAATCCAATCAAGGCTTGAGTCTATAAAAGGTAGAACCTATTCATTACTATCATTAGTGCCTACCTGCCACCAGCTGATGCTGGGTGTGGATGTTCCTGGGCCTCTCCACATGGAAAAGCAGCTCTGGGCCCTCCTACAGCCTGGACTTGAAAGGCAGGCTGGGCATTATTGTCTGGGCGAGCCTGGGCAAAGCTACTGAGCACAAATGAGGAGCTGAGATGCTGGCTGGCTAACAGCATAACAGATAAAGCTCACTGAAAAACCTAAACATATTTTTAGTTGAACAATGAAAACAAGAGTGAGCTTCTGGCTGTTTGTTGTTTTGTTTGGGTTTTGTCTCTTCTAGAGGGATTGGCACAGTGATTTGAAATCTCATTCTCTGCCCATTTTTCCTCCCAAACTACTATGTGATCAAAGGCTATATAACGTGTTGAGCTGATGTGGATTCAGAGAAAAAAGAGAAGTTGCATGAGCACTAGTGTATAAAGGGTATGAGCATGTATACATGTATGCATGTGTGTGCATATGTGTAAATGGGTGTGTGAACATGCACGTCCAGTTAGACTAACATGCTTTAGACATTTAAAGGCTATGAAGACTGGCAGAGGGAAGGCCCATTAAATGAATGAATGAATGAATGAAATGCCTTCCCTTGGAGTCTCCCTCTACATTGTTCCTGTTTCCAGGTAGACAGGAACCTACTCATATCTTCCTATGTACTTTAAGTTGCCTCTAGATTAATTATATATAATACTGTGTTATGCTATATAATGGTTGCTCTACTGTAACATATTGTTTAGTAAAAATCCTCACATGTTCAGAACAGAGATATAATTTAAAAAAAAATCTCCACCTGTGGCAGGTTGAATACATGGATCCAGAAGGCCAACTGTACCAAGACTCAGAATTCAGTGAACAACAAAAGATTAGGAAGGTGTTATTGGTACCCTGAGACACATGCCACTACCCCCTCCCGCTCCCCCACTCCCTTACACTGCTGTAACAAAAAGAGAGTGTGCTGAGAGGCACTGGGCCTCCTCCCTCCAGCCAGGCTACCTTCAGCACGGCAAGAGTTGCCTGTCTGTGTGTGTGATGCCATGGCATTTCCATCCAGCTGCCCTGCCCTTGGGACAGCAGGGATAGCTATGAATGTAGCATCTGCTGGGTTCAGGACCCAGGGCATCATGAGGGGTACAGAGATGCTGTCATCCTACTGATCCTTAACAACTTCCTAGTGCTGTCCAGTCTTCAAACTGCAGTCTTATGCTGCTCCTACCTATACCTCCTAGGTAGGTAGCTGGGGTCACAGGCACGTGTCATCAGGTCAGGCCCAACTTATTTGTTGAGATGGGGAATCTAATTTTTTCCTTGGGCTGATCTCCCTATCTCTCAACCTCTTTTTTTTTGGGGGGGGTCTGGTCATGGGGACTGAACTCTGGGCCTGGGCGCTGTCCCTCAGCTCTTCAGCTCAAGGCTAGCGCTCTAACACTTGAGCAACAGCACCATTTCCGGCTTTTTTCTTTTTGCTTGTGTGGTGCTGAGGAATCGAACCCAGGGCCTCAGGCATGCAAGGCAAGCACTCTACCACTGAGCCACCTTCCCAGCCCAGCTCTCAACCTCTTAACTAGCTTGCCACCACATTCAGCCTTTCATTTTTTTGGGGGGAGGGGGTCCGGTCGTGGGGCCTGAACTCTGGGCCTGAGCACTGTCCCTCAGTTCTTCAGCTCAAGGCTAGCACTCTACCACTTGAGCCACAGTGCCACTTCCAGCTTTTTAATTTTTTTTTTCTGCTTATGTGGTGCTGAAGAATCGAACCCAGAGCCTCATGCATGCAAGGCAAGAGCTCTACCGCTGAGCCACCTTCCCAGCCCAGCCTTTCATTTTTATAGATTGGGAGACTGACACTCAGAAAAGCAAATGCCTTACCCTAAATCCTGCAGCTGACTGGAGTCTGAACCCCACCTTCCTCTTAAGCTCCAGACCCTGTGCAAATGCTCTCAATGCTGAGGAGCCAACCACATGCTGGCTCTACCATATACAACTTTAGAAAGACAGTAACAGCCAAGAGAGGGAGCTTCACAGGCCTGTGGTTCTTTTCCTTTGTAACAAGGATTTTCAAATGGAATTTTAGCAGAATCCCTCTACTTACACTTTGAATGAGAAGCTTTACAAGGAACCCTACATAACATACATAGTTCTACATAACATAACAGTTCTAGGTGTTGCTCTGGACATCATAGGGCTGAGGGGCTGGCAACCCACTTGCTGCTCTCTATTTCCTCTCTAAGGAAGCTAAAGGCAGCTCAAAGCAGTCTGGGAGCTGGGACCCCACAGACCCACGGTGCTTACACTCTTCACTCACTTGCTTCTTTCACGTAACCCCCCACCCCCCGCCCCATTCCAAGCAGGCAGCAGGTCAGCTCTGGGCCAAATGGGGACGTTAGGAAATGGGATGACATGCTCACCTCCTCAACAAACATCATCCTCAGAAAAGGGATTTGAAGGAGAGGATCCTGGGACCCAGACAAGTAGTGTGCCTGCCCAAGGCCCCACTCCACATCCCTGCCCTTCGAAGCCTTCATTCTCATGCTTCCTCACCTTGACTGTGCTCCTTCATTTTCACAAGTAACATACCCCATTTCTGCAGGCTATTCAAATCTCCCATGAACTTTTACCAACCAAACGTGTCTAGACCCCATCCCAGATGTCAATTACACTTCTGACATAGTAATTTACTGTCACTCCAACACAGGACACAGCTAAGAGACTCCTGCTTCACCTCCCTCCAGCTCTGGGTGCTGAAGACAGGTCCTCCCAGTCCCCAGCAGCAGTGGGCCTGGGCAGGACTTACTGTGTAGAGCTCATTGGTCACCTTCAGGAGCTCCTCGTGCATCTGCAGGCCAATCTCCTTGCTCTGGAATATGGAAGAACAAATGTCAACACAGACATGATAAGTTTTTGAAGAGATAGGAATGTTAATCATCTGACTTGATTATTACACATAATATGCCATCATATACCTGACTTGACTAGTACACATATATTGTACACTATACATATAAATATTATCAGTTAAAACAGTTAATTTTTTTTAATGTTGAAGGCAGAAGGAGAAGTCTTCTGGTTCATTTACCAATTTATTTTCCTTTCTTTTCTTGTCAGTAGTAGGACTTGAACTCAGGGGCTGGGCGCTGTCCCTAAGCTCTTTTCCTCAAGGCTAGCACTCTAGCACTTTGAGCCACAGTACCACATCCAGTTTTTTAGTGGTTATTTGCAAAGATAAGAGTTTCACAGAGACAGGCTAGCTTCAAACTGTGATCCTCATATCACAGCCTCCTGAGTAGTTGAGATTACAGCCATAAGCCACTGATGCCAGGCCCAGCTTCTTTTCAATACAGAAAAGTCAGAATATATGGGATGAAATGCTGGTTGTTGGGGGGGATGGGGCACAGAAATCACTGAACTAAATATGAATTCCCAATTTGTGCCCAGAAACAAATTCCCAGAGGGAGATTGCATGGAAAGGGAATTCCTTGGTCACGTAAATTGGAAATCTCTACACATCCTGTCTGGTCTTTGTGACTCACAAGTGACATTAGTGTATTAAGAATTCTGGGAAGCCCTACAGACTCTTTTTTTAATTCTGTTCTGCAGGTGAATAAGACCAGAGTACGTATTTGTTGTTCAGTATTCACTAACAGCTCATAATGACGTTCCACAGGCCACTGTTTTGGACACATTGATCTAGCATCCCGATTCGCCTTTACAGTAAGTAGCAATTCAGGTCATCCAGGAAATATTCCACCAGCAGGTCTGCACTCTCCTGCTTCAAGGCTTGTCTTCCTCGAGTAGGACGCACATTTGGCACTCATCTGGATACCAACTTCCTGGCTTTTAGGACATAATGGATGCTTTAAACCTTGGTTTGATCCCAAATTTCAGGCAACTCTCTCCCCTGCTGGTTTCTTGCCCTTCCATGGTCCGATCACTGCCTAGATTTTGACAGGGGCTGGCCCTCACTGTCTGCATGCGAGTTCCAACCAGGTGCAGGAGCCTCGCCATCTGGGACATCCAACTTCCACACAAATGCAGCCCTGTTACAAAGCCTGTCCTACCAGAGTGCTCATTAGATAGCATTACTAAACAAATCTATGAATGAGTGCTGGGACAGTTCCTCTCAGCCTTGGCTTCCTAATTTGTGAGAGTGGAATGCTGTGATAAGTGTCATGGATGAAGAGCCAACACACATAGTATGTAGTACAGGCCAAACCAATATCTCTGTGATATCAGTGATGAGGTAGGACGCTGTCCAGAGAAGGGAACCCAAAGCTAAATCCCTTGGCACGGCTGAGGGTCAAGAGCAAACAGGCCTCGGCAGGAGATAGAAAGTATCCCAAAAGAGTATAGGATGAAGTGCCCTGGGAGGAGGCGGGAAGGCTCCTAGAGCCACCTTCCCTTTCAGTGCATGGCCAGTGGTAGGACAGCAGGGACACAGCCTGAGCAAAGGCAGGAGACCAGCAGTGTGGAAAGGTGGCAGGTGTTGAAAGAGAAATGTGAAACAGGAAGAGCAGGGGATAAGCTGGACATGGAGGCTAGGCCAGATTGCGAAGGCTGATGGGAGCACTGGCTTCCTTCAGAGTAGGACTGGGAGTCACGGAAAGCCGTTGAGTGGGAGGACATGACGATTAGGGCTGTGCCTCAGGAGGAAGAAGATCTGTACAGAACATGGATTGGATGAGGGGGACTATAGGTCTGTTTTGTTCGTTTCTTTTTTGAATACACACACACACACACACACACACACACACACACACACACACACAGAGTGAGTTGGGAAGGGAGTTATCCTCAACTGCAATTCCAAAAATTACTAAATGAGGAACCCAAACATTCCACCAGGAACAGGCGGCCAGAACTGAGGATCACTAGCAGGTCACCATGCCTAGCCCTTGGGAATTCAAGTGACACCACACTGGCACTCACTGTCCCCATTTTTCACATCATACTCAAGCCACCACCTCTGTAAACAGGAAGTATGGGCTGTGGAAAGAACATTAGGCCGAGAAGGGTTCAGCCAGGGCAGTGTGGTTCCCCAGAGTTGAAAGGGCACAGTCCTATCTTTCTGACCCTAACAGACCTGTGAAATGTAGCAGAGGCCACGGGAGCTGGTCACCATGACGACAGGCAAACCCAGCCCTGCCTGGCTCCCTGCATCTTTCTCCTGCCTCTAGCTAGTAGCAGTTAAGCTCCCTTAGAGACAGATGCGTCTATGGTAGAAACTTTCTTATACACAGAGGGGTATTTAGAGCATTCCTGGATTCCACCACACTGTCAGGGCTAGGGAATGCCCAGCTGGAGGCTCACAAAATTATTTAGTACATGATGGGGCAGACATGTATGCTTCTACTATGCTTCTCATCATCTGCCTATATTGATAATTTTATATGACCAGAAAATGGTGTTATAAATATCCAAATGACTATGTGTGCTGGTAGCAACCTCAAGTTGTTACAACAAAATCCATCTTCAGGTATTACCAAATGTTCCCTGGAGGACAAAGCTATACCTCAAAGAGAAAAGAAACCTTAGACCAAGGGCCCAAAGTGGGTTCCTCTGGTGCAAATATGTTCTTCTTGGCTACTCAGCACTTCCAGAAAATCTGCATACTTCTCTGGCATTTATAAACCAATAAATTTTCCCCCTAAGTTCTGGATTTTAGCTCCTGTGGCATTAGTATACAATACAGCATTTATGGACATCTGCCATTTGCTAAACACTGTCCAAAGTTGCTTCCATATGTTATCTAATTTATACCTTTAAAAGGAAGTAATACTCTTAATCCCATTTGACAAATGAAGGAAGGCTAGAGGTTCTGAAGGGATGCATAACTGGCCCAGGGTTGCACAGTTGGTGACTGTCTAGTTCTAGTGGAATATTTGGTTTGAGTTCCTCATTCAGTAATTTTTGGAACTGTAGTTGAAAATATTTCCCCTTCCAACCAATTCTCATATGCATATATATGTATACATACATATATATGTATACACATATATACATACACACACCCATATATAAATGTTACTGCCTGGAATCTGCCATACTTCAGTGACTGCCTGCTAAGCACTGATGCTGTTAGCCTAGGGTTAACAAGAGCCAGGCAGTCCCATCTGATAGCTGATGGTTGCATTAAAGAAACAGAATAGAATTTTAGTCCCACCCCATCGAGGTTAACTTACTCTAGTCTGTTTCCTCAGTGCTCAATGTGACATGCAGATGAAAAACAACCATTACAAAGATGCTAGTGGTTTTGAGTCCAGGCCACAAGGAAGGTATGAAGAAGGGCAAGCTCCCTGGACACTGCCAACCTGTCTGATGCCCTCGCTTACTGCTTGCATAGGCATCTGGGTCTCTTACAAACAGGTCTAGTCTTCTGTCCTACCTGCCCTGCAAGGTACACACCAGCCATGATGGTCATCTCTTGCTTCTCCCTTCCTCCTTTCTAAGAGAAGATGAAATATACATGGGACTGGTCCCTGCTCATTTGGCCAAACAAGATGGTCCATCGGGCATGGGATTGAGCTTGGCCAGTGCTATACAGCCTTTTCACCAGTGATTGGATCAGAGACAAGAAACGTGTCCCAGATTGAGCCAATCAGGATCTTCTCTGGGAGGCTTTTCCTAACCATTCTTTCTCTTTCCCTCCTAAATCTCAACACATTCCTCCATCACTTTACTATGCTCTGGCTTGTTTACTGATCACAGCTCAAAACTTAAAACCCACAGATGTTCCATAGTTAAATATATGATGTACGTAAGCACTGTCTAGCTCCCAGAACAACTGTTTGTCCAAAAACATAACGTGCTCCCCTGAGCCCAGCAACTCCAATCACTAAAGGGCCAATTTCTCCTAGACTCAATCAAAAGTCGCTTGGTCCTGTTGCCATACCTTGCCTTCAAATACACTATTTTTTTTTGTGCCAGTCCTGGAGCTTGAACTCGGGGCCTGGGCACTGTCCCTGACTTCTTTTGCTAAAGTCTAGCACTCTACCACTTGAGCCACAGTACCACTTCCAGATTTTTCTGTATATGTGGTATTGAGGGATCAAACCCAGGGCTTCATACATGCTAGGCAAGCACTTTATCACTAAGCCAGATTCCCAGCCCTCCCAACCTGATCTGAGTTATCTTTCCCTCTTCCTTGAATGTTTGTCCTTTCCCTACTCCCAGTTATCCTTTCTGTCCCTTCCCTTTCCAGAATGAATGCATGTCTCTTGCTGATACAAGTCTACTGTGCTTTTACTCATTTTTTTCAATAAGCTGAAATATAAATTCAAGTTCCTGAACTCATCTTCATGTGGGTGGGACTTGGATATCTATACATGGTCTTGGAGGCACTTGGCCACAGTGGGCCTCCGGCACAGTGCTGAGCAATGAGCCTGGCCTCATGCCGGCCAGACCCCTGCCCTGTAATTTTACCTAAAATCTCCTTGTGACCCTTTTTACCATAAAAGCTTCACTTCAGAGTTGCTAAAACAATATGCCTGTGAGAATCCAAGGATTCTTTGGAGTGGCTATGAACGAGTGACCTGATATGGTCAAAGTAAGAATTTCTGAATGTCTATTAATAACACTAGCTATTACTATTAATTATGACTATTATTATTAATGTAACACTGCTACTATTATATCAATGTAGTATAACTCTTACTATTAACAGTATACTCTTAGTATTAATGCTCCTAATGATGTTTATCATTATGGATAATAATGATAACAGCTTCTATTTCTTGATCTTGCAGTATATACTGTGGTATATTCACTTCCCATGTGTGTGTGGAGGAGGGCTCTGTTTCCTGGGCTCTCTGTTCTATCTCATGAACAGTTTGTCCAGCCATGCTCTAGTGTGGCCAATTT